TGACTGTGACTGCAGTACCACTTTTGGCCAGATTTTTACATATTGTTCCTTTAAATATTAAATACCAAAGAAACTAGTATCATATTATGTTTAAGGGAAAAATAATGCATAATATTTAAATAAAGTCAAAACATAATGAAATAGTATCTTCAACATGCAGTATTTATTTAGCTGACAAAGAGCATTATCCTGACGTAGCACAGCTGCTGTGATTCATAATCAACTTTAGCTGTGAGTATAAAGTATGATTGATGATTTTAAAAGCTTGGCTTTTACATTCCTTCTCTATCAGCGGTAGAAACCAATTCAGCATGTAGTCAAAACAAATAACCAGATGATGGTGTTAAAATTAGCGCAGGGGATCAAAATTCTATCATTGTATAATCATGTCTGCCGGAGGACTTGCTGCGCTATAGCTCGCAATTTACACTTGAAAACAGATGTCTGTTTTCAAAAGACCACTAATGACTTTCAGGCAGAGGACCGAGTTTGGTACCATGCTGTAGGACAGGGGTGCTCACACTTTTTCAGCATGCGAGCTACTTATAAAAGGATCAAGTCAAAATGATCTACCTACTACAAAAATGCAAATCATATATTTATTTCAAAAAATATTCTGTATACCTACAATGTATGTTTATGTACATGCAAAACCGCATGAGCCAATATAGCACAACACAACACAATTACCTATGTACATTTTTTGTCATTACCCGAGTTTACTCTGATGACTTGCACTGAATTGAATCGGCCAGGGAGGCATAGTCCGGAAAATTGGTGGTAACTCGCTGACAAGTTTGTCGTGCTTTAGCTTTCCTGCACTGAGCGCGGTTGTTTGCGCATGTGCAGTCACCTAAGTGTCAGTAAAACATTACTGAGTAAAACACAGATGTCATTTGACTGTGGTGCCATGTCCATGTGCCATGCCTATTTTTTTTAAATCCAAATATTTCCCCTCCTCAGTTTATAAAATAATTTGCATCCACACATCTGCATTATCAATCACATTCGTTTTTTTTTTTTTTTTTTTTTTTTTTTTTTTTTTTTTATTTAAAAATATACACAAATAACAAACAAGCTCGAGGCTCAGGTATGCAAGGCTTCAGCTTTCAGTGTAAACAAAAATATACAAAATACAGATACAAAAAAATATATATATATATATATTTACAGTGCAAATTCGTTACATACATCTTTGGTCTTCATGGCTTTGACATTAGTACAATATTTCAACGAGGTCAAATAAGAGGACATTAGTGATTCAAATACAACCAGTTTGGGTTTTTGGTTGAGGTACTTACAGCTATGGATATGATACTTGGCCAGTATTAATATTAGATTGGAAATAAACCGTTTGTTTGGAGGGAGATTTTTTAAATAAATACCAAACAAAATATCTTTAAGGTTTAGTTGTAAATCTATGGTAAGTTTTCTATTCACAAATAGATTAATGTCTTTCCAAAATACTTGTGTGTAAGAACATTCCCAGAAAAGATGACTAATTGATTCTACAGTGACATGACAAAATGAGCAAAGAGGGTCAACATTTAAACGATATTTGGATGTTACACTGTTAACCGGGTAACATCTATGCAAAATCTTGAGGCATACTTCACAAATCTTATTGGTAACAAAAAAATGTTTCGGCAATAACCACACAGAGTCCCATTCAATATCATTAAATAAATTGTCCCACACAAATATAGAAGCTGGTTTCCTAATGGAGTCTCTTACGATGAGCTCTCTAATACATTTGTTATTTGTTTTGACACTTAAAAAGGGGTCAGAATTACCAATATATAACTCTCGGGATAAATCTATGGTAGGATTGTGAACATAGGTTGACATCAATATTTTGACACCTGACGGAATAGCATCAAAAACAATTGCAAATTCCTTTGGCAACACTGGGAAATTATATATATGCAAGAATTCATTGTAAGAATACGTTATGCCTCTTTTGTTAAATAACTGATGTACATAAATTATACCATGGTTAACCCATTTTTGTAAGAACAGTGATTTGTGCTTAAAGCATATATCCATATTATTCCAAATACAATACTTGTGAGGTGAAAAATTGTGCTTATAAACTAGAGACCAGGATAACAATAACTGTTTGTGAAAATTAGAAAGTTTAACGGGGAATTTTTCTATCTTATAATTGCACCTTAATAGAAAATGTAAACCTCCTAAAGCTTCAAATACATGTGTAGCAATGAAATTCCATAAAGAATTTGGATTCTGTAAATATCTTTTTATCCATTTGATTTTGAAAGAATGATGCAAGGTTTTAAAATCTAGAACATTGAACCCACCAGAGGATAGCTTGTTAATCATTACATCCTTTTTTATAAGGTGTGACTTTTTTTTCCAAATAAAGTCAAATAACATTTTGTCTACCTTTGTATTTATGTCATTAGAGACTTCAAGTGCTGAGCTGGCATAAACTAAATTTGAAAGACCTTCAGCTTTGGAAAGTAATATTCTACCAGAAATAGACAGGTCTCTCCATAGCCACATATTAAATTTCTTTTGTATTAGCAAAGTAAGGGGATTGAAGTTTTCTCTTGGTCTTAAGTTTTCATCTTTCATAATAGTAATTCCCAAGTATTTCACTTTTTGTTTCACAGGGATTCCTAATATTTCTGACTGACAACAGTCTTTGACAGGAAATAGTTCACATTTAGAAAGGTTGAGTTTGAGACCAGAGGCTAATGAAAAAATATCTAATAGCTTTATAGCACAATCTATTTGAGAGGCATCTCTTAAAAAAAGCGTGGTGTCATCAGCTAGTTGGCTTAACCTTATTTCTCTGCCAGCAATAGTAATACCTTTAAGACAACTATTTTGAATTGAATATGCTAAAATTTGCATAGGTAAAAGGAATAGAAAGGCACTTAGGGGACATCCTTGGCGGATACCGCGTTCAACATTGAACCTACCCGTAGTCCCATGAGGTAATTTGATTGAACTATTTGCAGCAGAGTACAAGGTTCGAACAGATTTCTTAAAAAATTCACCAAAGCCAAAAAGATCTAATGTTTTGAACAAAAATGTATGCTCCACCGAATCGAATGCTTTCTGAAAGTCCAAGAATAAGATAAAGCTATCTTCTGAGATTAAATCAGAGTAATCTAACAGGTCTAAAATGAGTCTTATATTGTCAATAATGTATCGCCCAGTCATAAAACCATTCTGGGATTCCTCTATTACACAATGAAGCACCTTTTTTAGCCTAGTTGCAAGAGAAAGAGCTAAAATTTTGTAATCATTATTGAGAAGTGTTATGGGACGCCAATTGTCCAATAGAGCAACATCTTTATGAGGTTTGGGAATTAAGGTAATCAAGCCTTGGCATAGTGAAGGTGGAAGTTGTTCTTTGTTTATACTTTCTGAAAATACTTTTAAAATAAATGGAGCAAGCTGAGGAGAAAAGGCTTTATAAAACTCAGAGGTTAACCCGTCTGTACCTGGAGATTTGTTCAGTTTAAGCTTTTTAATAGCATCAAATATCTCCAAAGCTGTAATTGGTGAGTCACAAATTGCTTGATTTGAATCCCCAATAAATTTCACCTGATCTACATGCTTAAAGAATTCATTCATATGCATTAGTGAGAAGTTGGATTTGTATAGATCTTTGTAAAAATGTTCACAAAATTTAGAAATAGTTTTGGGATTTTCTGTGACGGCACCATTAATAGAGAGTCTGTTTATGTTATTTTTTGTTTGCCTTTGTTTTTCTAGTTTAAAAAAGTAACTTGAGTTTTGTTCACCTTCTTCTAACCATTTTGCTTTGGATCGAATAAAGGCTCCTTTAGTTTTATTGATGTAAAGCTTATCTAAATTTAACTGGAGTGTTGAAGCTTGAGCTTGTTGAGAATCAGACATATTTTCTGGTAAAATAGAAGATAAAGAGACTAGTTTATTGATTAGGTCATTTTCTTCTTTTTTCTTCTCTTTTTTAAGTTTTGCTCCAGTTTTCATAAATAACGTCCTCAGTTCAAATTTTAGGAGCTCCCAGTATTTTTGATATTCACCTGCGGTCTCTGCCATTTTAAAGAATTGAGAGATTTTATTGTTTACCAACTCACAAAGTGCATCATTTAGTAAAAGATAGTTGTTAAGTTTCCAATAGGCTGGACATCTTTTGGGCTCACCATTTGGTGATCTCTGTAAGGTAAGTGAAATAGCTTTATGGTCAGTTAAAGGAGTTGGAATAATTTCGCTTTTGCATTTTAATTGAGTTAAGCATTCGGAAACTAACCAGAAATCAATTCTGGATTGTAGCGAACCAACTCTATTTTTCCAAGTAAATTCTCTGCTATTCGGATTGTTGATTCTCCATATATCCACTAGGCCTCTTTCATTGATAAACTCATTCAAATAATCATTAACTTTTTGTCTGTTAGGATACCTGTCAATTTCATCATTAAATGTACAATTGAAATCTCCCCCGAAAATTATCTTTACATCTGGAAACTTTTCAATAATACTTTCTATTTTGTCATTTAAATCTAGAATTAGATCTTTGTTTTCCTTTACATTAGTATAGCCATACACATTCCCCAAGAGAAATATCTGATTATTATGAGCAAATACCAGGAGAGTATAATGACCATTTAAGTCTGTATGAGTAGAAATAACCTTTCCGTTGAATTTATGTTTCAAAGTGAGAGTTCCTGCTGAGTGGTGATTGCCATGTGACATCCAAATGTCCTCTCCCCATTGTGACTTCCAAAACTTATAATCTTCATCAGATGAGTGGGATTCCTGAATTAAACAAAAGTCTGCATCAAAGTTTTTAGCATAGAGAAAAATTGCCTTGCGTTTAGAAATGTCCCTTAAGCCTCGAGCATTAACAGAAATAAATTTCAACAGAGAAATGTTTAAATAAAAAATAAAAAAACAGTCAGAACAGTTCCTTCTTTAACTTGGAAAGAAGTGACATGAGAAGGCAGAGCTTATTCCCTTATGAAGTTGAGATCAGCATCTTAATGTCAAAATATTTCTTTGTTGTCGATAAAGGCTCTTCCCCCGACAAAGTAGGCAATCTTCTTTTCCTCCCGGGCCTTCTGGATGAGGGGCCACAAACGATTTCGTTTTTCGCGGTCCTCCAGCGTCAGGTCCTCCTTGAAGCGCAGAAGTCGTTGTTTCAGATGATCATGGTTCTTTGACATCTTCCAAATGGCGTCGCGATAGTGCCTCATAGAGAACTGGATGATAATATCTCTCGGTTGGGACCTGGTTGAATTGGGTCTACCGAGCCTATGCACAGAGTCTATCACATCCTTAAATTTGTCCTTGTAGCCTGGGGCTACGTTTTGACAAATCTCAATCACAGCGCGCCTCACTTCTTCATCTTCTCTCTCTTGCAGCCCACGCAAACGTAAATTCCATCTACGCTTGTAACGCGCCAATTCAACCACTTTGCTTTCAAGCTGTTGGATCATTTCTTCAGCTTTGTCTACTCTTTGTTCAGTTTTCCTTGCTGTCCCTTTTATGTCTTGTACCTCTGCCGAGAGAAAATCAACAGATCGTTTCAGCTCATCAATGGACTTTCCGATGGTAGAACCTTGCTCTTCGATAGCTAGCTTTAGCGCCGCCACTATGCTGTCCGCGGTTTCTTGCTCCATTTTACCTTTTTTGTTGTTAAGAGATTTAGTCGGAGTCACAGGTGGTTTGTTTTCACTTTTGCGCTTGGTCGAGGGGTTACTCATTATAGTGCGTGTCTTCAGTTGAGATGAAAGATGCTTTTTTTCCCCCACAAAAGTCGGGAGCTGCTCTGCCACAGTGCTTACCGCCTCGCCGCCATCCTCTCTTCTCATCAATCACATTCGTAACATTCCAAACATGTGCGTCTCTTACGTCCTGTCCTGCGTTGGGGAAAAACACAGAAGTGGGCGGAGCTTTGATGCAGACGCCGGTAACGGCACTTTTACAGTCATAGAAGACACTCAGAGTAAAGACGTATGTTTACAAGCACTGACCCCGTCCTCAGTCCTGGTTTAGTCCTGGTTTAGTCCTGGTTTAGTCCTGGTTTAGTCCTGGTTTGGTTGTTTTCGAGCGTGAGTCCCTGCGATCACTTTGCTGCTCTCTGATGTGGAGGATGTTCGCTGCTGCGAGCATCTCACAGTGAACAGTTTTTAAGGTAGTATGATCCATGCTTCAGTGATCAGAGGAATTTAGGGGGGTACTGTGGCGTGCGAGAACGCAAAACTCCGGTTATCTCTGTCTACACACAAATGCATTAACAGAGTTTTCAAAAATCTCCACTTTGCCCGGAGTTTTTTGTATATATTTGTTTAGAATGTGTAATTTTTTCATTTATTTAATGCGATCTACCAATACTACCTTTGCGATCGACCGGTAGATCGCGATCGACGTATTGAGCACCCCTGCTGTAGGATGAACAAATAAGATGAATCCTTTCATTAACACAAAGCTGTGGGCTCTCCCGCCATCCTTACAGTAATTGCTTGGTTTGGTCCATGATTAGGACGAGGAGCCAGACTCAATTCTACAAGCCTCTCATGTTTGAAGACATTAAGGTGCCAAAATATATAAGGTTCTGGAAATGATCATGCTAAAAAGCTACAGGGGATGAATCAATACGGCAGTAACCATCTATCTTAAAATCAAGCTAAAAATAAAATGGTCACAAACATCATCTAAAAATCATGTTAAAAAGGCTATTCTTTATGGCCAGTTTTGTTAGCAAGACCCCTAAAAATAGTAAAAGATATTCAAAAGCCTTAGCCTGAAAACCAACTTTGGGAATGTGTAGGACAAGGGTGTAAAATGGGTCATCAAAAGGGCCGACATGGCTGCAGGTTTTCGTTCCAATCTGAGCAGGAGCCCAACAAACTGGACTCACCTAAGGAAATGGATGAAGTCTAGTGTGCTCCTGCTTGGGTTGGAATTAAAACCAGCAGCCACACTGCCCCTTTTAAGGACTGATTTGACATGCATATCAATATTAAGCTGAAACAACTAAAATGTGCACTTTAGTCTTCAATCCCACCGTTTGGATCAGCACTCTGCCCATTTACAGTGTCAGTGAAACGTCACATGAAAAGGTACCCCTCTATCGTAGATCAAGTTAAGATGCTCAAATGTGTTGGGGTTTTTTGGGGAAAAACATTTACCATAATTCATTACAGAATTGATTTCCTACAGATTTAAATCATACTGGCAAAAGCTTAGGTCATGGTAAGAGGAATCAGGAGAGAGAAATAACGGCTTGGGTGTGGTGTAAGATATTATATGATATTTGAATTTAATAAGAAAAATAAATATCTATTTAAATTTACCCTAAAAGACTTTACCCATTATCCCTCAGATCTCCCTAATATGGAAGGTTTAGAAGTCTGTGGGACTAGAAGCATGGATCTGCCCCGAGAGCCAATTTTATCTCCCCACAGCCTCGGTCCAGAGAACAGCCTAACAAGCTGAAGCTCTGCCTTCATCAGGGAGGGAGGATTGGGACACACAATATGCTTGAAAATGCATGGGTGGCGTATATTTAAATTATCATACATGCTATCAACACAGCTTGTGCACAAATTAAATAAGCAATGGCAAAATTAGATATTGTTCAGAATGGTTTTATGGCAGTAGTGTTTATTCTACTCTGGGTCTTTTTATTTATTGCCTTTTCAGGACCTTAAATATCCTGCTCTGAAGTCCACGTGTGCTTGTCATCACATCCAAGCTCCATCTGACAAAGCTCTTACCAGTGTCTGAAATATGACTCATAAAACCCAGTGGCACTATAAACCCAGAGCCAGGTCTGATTTGTGAATCCAGTTACCCACTGTCTGTAACGGATGGACTTAAGAGTCACACATGAGGGTTGAGCCTGCAGTTGTCGGAATACATCCTCCTGCCAGTCGAACTGACCCAGAGAAACTTAAAACAACTTCATATTCAAATACATATATTACATGACACATATTGTCATTAATGCCATACAGCTGACCATGAGCGAAACGTAGACCCTTTTCTGTTGCGATATCCAACTGGATGCAGGGCATTTATAATTGTATTTTTGAAGAAAGGGTGCTTATAACAAGCTGCAAATTGTGTCAAATGTCGAGCTCGCAGGCCAATCAGAGCTCTTTACATTGCTAACCCATAGTTGCCCTTAGAGATAAATACAAGTTCACAGTGTCATCCAGACAACTTCAGCTCCGCCAATATAGGCATACTATATTTCTTGTAAAGTTCAGAAAGAGCTTTAATCCAAACAACTTTTTTGGCTTTCATTTATTCTGTATTTGGTACTAATGCTAGTGAGAAAGCAAACACTTGTCATTCAGCCAACTTTAGCTTTGTCAAATGCTAATTAGCCGTTCATGATGTCCGTCACACCTGATTTGAAAACTTAGAACTGCCTGAATAGAGTCGAAACTGTTTTAAAATCTGGTTGCCGGGTGAGCTTAAGTCACCCACTTACTAACAGGTTTAGACTGTCTGGTATGAAGTTTTTTGAACATGGGATAATGTAGACAGTAAAAGCCAGATACAGTGGCTATTGTTTAATCCATCCATCCATTTTCTACCCTTTAATCCATTTCTGGGTCAGGGGGGTGGCAGTCAGAGATGCCACCCAAGTCTCATAGCAACAGCCCCTCACTGACCCTCTGCAGGTGGTGAGTCCACAGGAGGACGGCTGCTCTCTGAGTGTGAGCATAGCCTTGATCTTTCAGTGGGGGCTTTTGGGCAAAGTGGGGTTAAGTGTCTTGCCCAAGGACACAACGACAGCAGTCATCAGTGGGAGTCGGTGGAGAAGGTGCAGAGTCGGTGGAGAAGGTGCAGAGAAGGTGTTTAATTCAGTTGGAATTAAATAGTTATGTTTGTCATAAAACATTTTAAAAAACTGTTAATTAACAATTCAGTTAATGTCTTTCATGTATTTGATTTGCTTATCACCACAGCATTTAAGACAAGCAGATATGAAAGTTTTATAATAGTTTTTTTATAGACATATGCAGTATATTTGTTCCATTACATCCAAGCCAAAAACAATATTCTTTATACTTTTCCAAACGTTGCTCATGTTGCGCTGCATGCCTGCCAACTTTGATTTGAACCAACAGGTGCTGTGGTTCACTCAGGTCTAATGAGCGTTTCAGCATTTTCTGAGCAGCCTGCTTTCCATTAACCCTAGAAAGACCAAGACACCCACTGCGGGGGAAAAGCTGTAATCTGAAGCTTAAGCGGCAACTATACTTCCTGTTACAAACCAGCAGCAATCTTTACAAGACACTGTGCTGCTTTTATAGAAGAGAATTTTAAAGTTGAAGATTCATTATATATACGTCATGCCATAGAAGAGGTGGAGGTTAAATAGGTTGTACAGCTCTTGTGCCATATAATGTCAAATACCAAACTTTGTTACCCTCAGGTCAAAATGTCCCGCCACGGTGATTAAAAGCATTTAATGACCCAGGGGTGGTCAGAGCTTAATCATCAAAATTGAGCTCTGAAAAAAACCGTAAAAGGGCATTTTTGAATCACCGGGGATCAATCAGAAATAAATCTTAAAATATTGAATTAAACAGGTAACAGGAGTAGTTTATGTAATTAAGTTGTCTAAGTATTTTTGTCATTTTGTGTTGAAAACGTCAATTCAATACCTTGTCTCTACTTCTCAGCTGTATAAAAAGAATTACAGGCTTAAACTTGATTTGTGACACTAACATCCTCATAATGCCTTTGAGTGATATGTAATAAACACTTTTGGGTGCAATGCTACTTGTGTCATAAGTCAAAATGTAATTGAACTTGTGAATGGCCTCAGTTGATCTGGGTGCAACTATATAGAGACCCAAGTTAACCCCCGCTCTGACCTCAGCTGCATACCACCACACAAAAATAGACATGTATAATTCAATGTCTATGGCCGCACTGGTTTTGACATCATTCCTGTAATTGTAATTCTTGATCCCCAACTTGGGATGTCACAATGTCACAGCGGATAAAGTCGCAGTTATTGTCTGTCAAGCTGTATTTTAAGTGCCCTGTGATGAAGTACTGGATTGAGTCTCGAAGCCAAGTCCAACCTCAGTAGAATCTAAATGACATTTTATACAAAATCCACATGTCACTTCTGTCATTACCTAACATTTCTACTTGGCGTTTGTCCCTATAGAATGAGTCTTGTTTAAGTAGTATTTTGTGAGCCAATCAGACCACATCTTTATATATTCTACATATTGTGACGGGCAAAAAGTGCTTTTTAAAGTAGTTTTTGCTGCATTCATCAAATTGGGATTAAGTGAACACATTTAGTTAACAGAGAAACTTTGATAAGTCTGTCGCTCAAGTCAGACCAGAGAAAATGTTTGAATAAACACTGCTGTGACTCAAATGAACACGTTTATTCACCAGTGCACACAAGTCTCAGTCCAGTAAACATCAAGCACAGGACTTCCTTTAGGTCCAAACACCAAACCTTTCAGAGTGCTTTGAATGTTTCACATTTTCTCTGACCATGAAAGACTTAGCACAGTGGGAATCTGTGCGACTCAATGTGTTTATGTTTAAGCAAGAAACCCCAACCCAAAATGAATTCACCGCAGAAATCTTCCAAGCAAATGGAAAATTCATGGGATGCAATTTTCAGTTCTTC